AATTTACTTTTTGGGGAAGAAAAGAAATAAAATAAAATAAAAAAAGGCAAAAGCAATAGGATAAGATAATCATGTCGTTGAGCAGGTGTTGAATGAGTGGTAATGCTGACACGGGAAAATGATAAAGCTACACCGAAGTTAAAATTTTCTGTCGCAAGGACTTTTTTGCCCCTGTCATGCCCAAAGTCATCTTCGTCGCTTGCCTCCAATTAGGTGACGTTTCGATGACACCTCCCTCCAGCATTGACTTCAATCAATTCGATGACTCCAATTAGGTAAAATTTTAAATTTTAAATTAAATTTTAATTAAATAAAATAATATAATTAAAACTTTAATTTTTTAGAGGTAAAATTGATTATGATTAATTCTTACGATTTATAGCAGTTGTGTATATACTTGTTTAATTTTATTTAATTTTGAGAAAACTTGGATATGTATATAGTTTTAACTTTCAAAACTTATTAAAAATTTATTTTTAAAATTAATTTTAAAATTTTTAACAAATTTTTAAATTTGTAAGAGAATTTTAACGAAAACAAATTTACCTTTTTTTTTAAGCTTTCCCAGTCACCCTTATGGTTTCCACTTATTTTCTTTTATATATGCTTAATGCAATTTTCTTTTATAATTAATTTACATATAAAAAAGACAAAATTTATTCCCCACAGTTAGGAAAACCATTTCTTAATTTGACTGCCTTCCTTCTCCGCCTACTAAATTCAAATATAAAAAGCTATCTCCACTTGTTTTCTCTCACTGCCTTCCTGATCTTCATTGCTGCCTCACATATTTTGTTATGCAACTGATGAGATTCACCTTCAAATGGCTTCACCAGTAGTCGGCTCCCTGTTCCGTTTCCCAACGTACCTTTTAGCCTTTGATTTTATCTCCCACAACAATTTCATTTTTTTTTTTTAACAAGGAGGAATTTTGGGGGAAGGCATGATTATATTTTGAGCATGTGAATGTAACTCCTTTACACTCACCAAGGTTAAACCCCAAATTATTTCAACTTATCCTATACAAACTATTGCTGAGGTTAGTTCGTCTCTTTATCGTAAACACCAAATAGAAAACTCTCCTCTTTATGATTTTAAATTTTTAAGTCTTTCTTTTCAAGTAAATAAACGTGGTTGTCACTTGTTAGGTTTACGTTTGATAATTGAATAATGTAATATTTTTAATACACATCAATTAATTTAAATTAATCAAAATTTACAGGTAGCCAAATTTGACTAAGACCATTTGGAAGCCAATAAGACTGCGCCATGGGGCTATAGATGCCAAAATTATAAAGCAATATGACAGATTATGTTTTTATAATCATATCATGGGACTAAATTATTGCCTGAGTCCAATAATGTTGTGAGGAGGGTTGCACGCATGCTTGTTTATATAGCATAGCCAAATTTGACCAAGACCATTTGGAAGCCAATAAGATTGCCATGAGGCTATATATGCCAAAATTATAAAGCAATATGACAGATTATATTATTATAATCATATCAAGGGAGTAAATTGTTGCCTGAAACCAATAACGTTATAAGGGTGGCTGCACGCATTCTTGTTTATATAGCATAATAATCCGCTAGCAAGTACATCTGATCTGAGTGATCTTGTGAAGAAGCCTTTCCTCAAGCATCATCTGTACTATTTTGGAGAAAACACTAGCTATTTAAGCAAGGTGCATTTTCTTCTTTAATTTTTCTATTTTACAATTGATTTAAGTCTTGTTTACAAAAATGATCTGCATATGACAATATCCTTTTTCTTCGTTTGGTATATACTAATTTCAAAGTGAGGTCCAAATGCTCAGGAAACCATTTGGACTAAATGTGGAATTGAGGTGTGTTCTATTATGCAGATTCTATCATTTGGTACCGTTATATTTTGCAACCTTCATAATCAAAATACCGTGATTTGTACAAGGTGCCTCTAACAAAAAAACTAGGGCGACAATTGCAAACCTCCGTTTATTGTTATGTTACAAAATTACAAAATAAACTAGCTAAGAAATGAGTAGCATAAGGCGAAATAGATAACATAAATAACTAACTATAATAACAAAAACAGAGCCATTAGCGATAAAATATTAATTTTGTGATTAAAAATATGGGTTCATCTATTCTGTGTTGAGCATAGGATAAGAAGTCATTATTAAATAATATATAATTATGATTTTTTTCTTTAAAAAGTAAAATTTTATCATTTTCAAGATAAAAAATAACAATTATTATATAATTAATGTTTCTTATGCTGTGCCCTCTAAGAATATAGATAAGAGAATAATACAAATCAATTTTAAATATAAGTATCAACATTTAATAATAAGGTGAATTTTTAAATTTTAAATTGAATTTTAATTAAATAAAATGATATTATTAAAATTCTAATTTTTTTAAAAGTTAAAATTGATATATACCATCTTCTATAAATAATATTAATAATAATTTTATGATTAATTTTTACAGTTTTTGACAGTTGTACATATGCTTGTTTAATTTTGTTTAATTTTTCAGAAAACTTAGATATGCAATTTTAGTTTTCAAAACTTATTAAAAAGTTATTTTAAAAATTAATTAATTTTCAAAATTTTTTAATAAATTTTTAAATTTATGAGAGAAAATTTTAGTTAAAGTATACATTTTAAAATTTCCCAGTCACCCTCTTAGTTTCCACTTATTTTCTCTCTTTTTTTTACACAATTTTCTTTTATAATTAATTTACATAAAAAGGAAAAATGTTATTCTCCACGGTTAGGGAATATGTTTCTTAATTTCACTGCTTTCCTTCTCCGCATAGTAGATTCAAATATAAAAAGTTAAATGTTAATTTTGGTCTGTCAACTTTAATGTTTGCATTGTTTTCATCCCTTAATTTTTTTTATACATTTTTTTGGTCCCTTAAGTATAAAAAATACACTTTTTAAGTCTTCCGTCAGTTAATCTATTAAATTTATATAAATGTGCATATTTTTAGTTCTTTAATTTCTAATATATACATTTTGTTTGTCCCTCAACTTTAATACATGTACATTTTTCGTTCCTTAACTTAAGTTGAAGGATGAAAATGTACATATTTAGACAAATTTAACAAACTAACTAATGGAAGAACTAAAAAAACCATTTTTCATAGTTAAAAGACAAAAAAAAGTACATAAAAAAGTTGAAAGATGAAAATTGTGCAAAACCTTAAAGTTGAGTGACCAAAATTAACATTTAACCAATATAGAAAGCTATCTCCACTTGCTTTCTTTCACTGCCTTCCTGATCTTCATAGCTGCCTCACATATTTTCTTATGCAACCGATAAGATTCACCTTTAAATGGCTTCACCAATGGTTCGGTCTCCTTTTCCGTTTCCCAACATATTTTAGCCTTTGATTTTATGTACTACTACAATCTAGTACCACTTATCATCTAAACTTGAATTATTTTCTGCAGATTGCATCACGTTGGTAAAACTCGCTACACATTCTGGTATCTGCATTTTGTCTCTCAAATCTTGTAATTGAGGAAGCCCAAGTTCTAAACCTGCTGGTATATATTTTTTAATGGCTGTGTTTTTTTTTTATTTTCACCTTGATTTTTTCTTCTCTCAAAGGCTTGATTTTAATATATGATTTGCTAACTTCATCACTAAATTATTAAAGCTTAATATATGGTATATTCTTTTCTTTAAATTATACTCTTTCTCCTCAATCCTCTCCAAAGTCTTAGGTTTTAGAGTGCCTCTTTTTTTTTTTTTTTTTGTTTTTAATTTTGTTGCATCTTCTTTAAAAACTTTAAAGTAACTAGAAAGTACATATCTAAACAATTTGTAAAGAAGTCTTTTGCTAGATATATTCTTATTAAAATCATTCCTAGTCATTTGGAGAAAACTGTAATTATTTTCTTCTTTAAATTAACTATTTTACAATTAATTTTTGTCTCATTTTTTAATCCAAATATGACCATATATCTTTTTTGTAGTTGGTAGTACCTACTTCTACTTATTTCAAAGTCAGCTCAATAATAGCAAGCATATTTATTTCTTAATGTACCACATAAATGAGTAATGTTTGATTTTATAAAATTCTTTGATGCATTTCACTATATAAATAAATCTGTATATTATATATCTTTGATGCATTTTTTTAGTTGGTAGTATCTCCTTATGTTTGACTTGATAATCAAATTCTCCAATTTTTTCCTCACTATCCTTCACAAATTAAACAGTTTTTAGTTATTTTTAGCTTAAAATTTCTCTAGGATGCAAATCATTCCTTAAGTCAATCGTTATGTCTTTTATTCCCTATCTTTTAGTTTGAAAATGAAATGGAATTCATATAAATAAATTCGCTGATAAATTTAATTAAATTGAATTCTCATGTTTAACAAATTTTTTGTTCTCTTTGCTATAAAGTATAAATTAAAGCAGAATTAATTTCAATTCTCTTCTGCAGATTGTATCATTTTTAGTGTTTCTATTCCATATTCTGCAACTTCCATTCTCAACCTTCTTCAAAAACTCTCAGTTTGGTCCAGAAACAATAGTTCCATGCCAGAAGGTATAATTTTCTTTAACCCTTGTATATTTTCTCCACATTCATATATATATATATATATATACACACACACACATACATAAGTAGAGATCCATTTATATATAAATTTTATACATTATATTTATATAAAATTTTAATCATTTATCTCTTCATTTTTAGTGGTTGAAATTTATTCACATTATTAAAAATAATTGATAATTAATAAAATATTTAATATTTATTATTTAAAAAATTAAAATTAAAATATAAAAAAATTTTAAATATTATAATAAACTATTTAAAAAAATTATAAACTAATAAAATAATAAATAAAATTAATAACAAATTAATAGTCTTAACAAAAAGACTGATGAGCAATTCACCCATCACCATAACCTCAGCCCAGCAATTACTTTTCTGCAAAAGTTGCTTTCAAACCAGGCCCAAAAGTCTAAAATGCTGATCTCGCTTGCATATTTTTCAACTTGTTCCCAACATATACTTTTCTGCTTTTTGATGTTAGGTACAATATATGGTGATATTTTCAAACCTTCTGGTTGAAGAAGTCCAAGTTCTAGATGAGCTAGTATAATTTCTTAATCGCTATAAATTTTTCTCCACCATATGCAGGAAAACTTAGATGTGCAGTTTTAATTTTCAAAACTTATTAAAAAATTATTTTTAAATTAATTTTTAAATTTTTTCTAAATTATTTTTTAAGCTTTCCAGCCACCCTCATAGTTTCCACTTATTTTCTTTTATATATTTTTTCTGCAATTTTCTTTTATAATTAATCTATAAAAAAGACAAAAGTTATTCTCCATGGTTAGGAAAACCGTTTCTTAATTTCAGTGCTTTCCTTCTCCGCTTATTAGATTCAAATATAAAAGGCTATCTCCACTCGTTTTCTCTCACTGCATTCCTGGTCTTCATTGCCGCCTCACATATTTTCTTATGCAACTGATGAGATTCACCTTCAAATGGCTTCACCAGTGGTTCGGCCCCCTTTCCGTTTACCAACATACTTTTCAGACTTTGATTCTATGTACTACTACAATTTAGTACCACTTATCATCTAAACTTGAATTATTTTCTGCAGATTGCATCATGTTGGTAAAATCCACTACATATTTTGGCGTCTGCATTTCGTCTCTCAAACCTTATAATTGATGAAGCCCAAGTTCTAAACCAGCTTGTATAATTTTTCAATCAATCGCTGTGTTTTTTTTTTTTTCTTCATGTTGATTTTTTCTTCTCTCAAAAAGCTTGATTTTAATATATGCTTTGCTAATTAATTCATCACTCTATTATTAAAGCTTAGTATATAGTATGTTCTTTTCTTTGAATGATACTCTCTCCTCAATCTCCTCCAAAGTATTAGATTTTAGAGTGTTTTTCTTTTCTAGTTTTTAATTTTGTTGTGTTTTCTTTAAAAATATTTAAAGTAATTAGAAAGTACATATTCAAATAATTTGCGAAAATACCTTTTACTAGATACATCCTTATTAAAGTCATTTCTAATCGTCTTGAGAAATCTGTAATTATTGTCTTTTTTAAATTAATTATTTTATAATTAATTTGTCTCATTTTTCAAATATGCAAATGACAAGATATCCTTTTTCTTAGTTGGTAGTATCTACTTCTACTTATTTTTTCAAGGTCAGCTCAGTAATAACAATAATATTAATTTCTTATTGTACCACGTAAATGAGTTATGTTTGATTTTATGAAGTTTTTTTGATACATTTCATTATATAAATAAATCTGTATATTATATTTTGATGCATTTTTTTAGTTGGCAGTGTCGCTTTATGTTTCACTTGATAATCGGATTCTTTGATTTTTTTTTTTTTTCATTCTCCTTTTATAGATCTATAAGAGTTTTTAAATATTTTTAATCTAAAATTTTTCTACATATATAAGTCATTCCTTAAGTCAACCCTTGTTTCCTTTATTCTTTATCTTTTAGTCTGAAAATGCAATAGAATTCATATAAATACATTCCCTTAAGAATTTAATTAAATTGAATTCTCATATTTATTTATCAAATTTTTAGTCTCTTTGCTCTATATATTTTCTTCATATTCGTATGTGTGTGTATATATATATATATATAATAGAGAATCATTTATATATAAATTTTACACATTATATTTACATAAAATCTCAATAATTCAATTTTTCACTTTTAGTAGTTGAAATTTATTTACATTTATTAGAAATAATTATCTTTTTATCTAAAAAAATGATAAATTTCAACTATTGAAAGTAAAAAAATAAATAATTAAGATTTTATATAAATGTAATATATAAAATTTATCTTATATATAAAAGGGATCTATCTACACATAAGTCTC